GTCAACCACGCAGACCCAAACTCCGATGCTATGGCCGATCCCAGCGTGCCAAAAACTGGCGCTCCAGGAAGCCGGTCGGAGAGGCTCGTAAAAAGTCAACCACGCCTACCCGAACCCCGATGCTATGGTGAGTCCTAGCGCGCCCAAAGCCGGCGCCTTCGGACGCCGATCGGGCGGGTTCACGAAAAGTCAACCACGCAGACCTAAACCCCGACGCTATGGCCAATTCCAGCGCGCCAAAAAATGGCGCTCCAGGAAGCCGGTCGGAGAGGCTCGCAAAAACTCAACCACGGCTACCCGAACCCCGATGCTATGGTGGGTCCCGGTGTGCTCAAAACTAGCAATTTTTGACGCCGATCAGGCGGGGTCGCGAAAAGTCAACCACGCAGACCCAAACTCCGATGCTATGGCCGATACCAGCGTGCCAAAAACTGGCGCTCCAGGAAGCCGGTCGAAGAGGCTCGTAAAAAGTCAACTGGCAATTTTTGACGCCGATCAGGCGGGGTCGCGAAAAGTCAACCACGCAGACCCAAACTCCGATGCTATGGCCGATACCAGCGTGCCAAAAACTGGCGCTCCAGGAAGCCGGTCGAAGAGGCTCGTAAAAAGTCAACTGGCAATTTTTGACGCCGATCAGGCGGGGTCGCGAAAAGTCAACCACGCAGACCCAAACTCCGATGCTATGGCCGATACCAGCGTGCCAAAAACTGGCGCTCCAGGAAGCCGGTCGAAGAGGCTCGTAAAAAGTCAACTGGCAATTTTTGACGCCGATCAGGCGGGGTCGCGAAAAGTCAACCACGCAGACCCAAACTCCGATGCTATGGCCGATCCCAGCGTGCCAAAAACTGGCGCTCCAGGAAGCCGGTCGGAGAGGCTCGTAAAAAGTCAACCACGCCTACCCGAACCCCGATGCTATGGTGAGTCCTAGCGCGCCCAAAGCCGGCGCCTTCGGACGCCGATCGGGCGGGTTCACGAAAAGTCAACCACGCAGACCTAAACCCCGACGCTATGGCCAATTCCAGCGCGCCAAAAAATGGCGCTCCAGGAAGCCGGTCGGAGAGGCTCGCAAAAACTCAACCACGGCTACCCGAACCCCGATGCTATGGTGGGTCCCGGTGTGCTCAAAACTAGCAATTTTTGACGCCGATCAGGCGGGGTCGCGAAAAGTCAACCACGCAGACCCAAACTCCGATGCTATGGCCGATACCAGCGTGCCAAAAACTGGCGCTCCAGGAAGCCGGTCGAAGAGGCTCGTAAAAAGTCAACTGGCAATTTTTGACGCCGATCAGGCGGGGTCGCGAAAAGTCAACCACGCAGACCCAAACTCCGATGCTATGGCCGATCCCAGCGTGCCAAAAACTGGCGCTCCAGGAAGCCGGTCGGAGAGGCTCGTAAAAAGTCAACCACGCTTACCCGAACCCCGATGCTATGGTGAGTCCTAGCGCGCCCAAAGCCGGCGCCTTCGGACGCCGATCGGGCGGGTTCACGAAAAGTCAACCACGCAGACCTAAACCCCGACGCTATGGCCAATCCCAGCGCGCCAAAAAATGGCGCTCCAGGAAGCCGGTCGGAGAGGCTCGCAAAAACTCAACCACGGCTACCCGAACCCCGATGCTATGGTGGGTCCCGGTGTGCTCAAAACTAGCACGTTTTGACGCCGATCAGGCGGGGTCGCGAAAAGTCAACCACGCAGACCCAAACTCCGACGCTATGGCCGATCCCAGCGTGCCAAAAACTGGTGCTCCAGGAAGCCGGTCGGAGAGGCTCGTAAAAAGTCAACCACGCCTACCCAAACCCAGATGCTATGGTGGGTCCCGGTGTGCTCAAAACTCGCAATTTTTGACGCCGATCAGGCGGGGTCGCGAAAAGTCAACCACGCAGACCGAAACTCCGAAGCTATGGCCAATCCCAGCGTGCCAAACGCTCGCGATCCCGGAAGCCGGTCGGAGAGGCTCGTAAAAAGTCAACCACGGGCACCCGGTCCCCGACGCTATGGTGGGTCCCAGTGTGCTCAAAACTCGCAATTTTTGACGCCGATCGGGCGGGCCCAGGAAAAGTCAACCACGCTGACCCAAACTCCAATGCTATGGTGAGTCCCAGTGTGCTCAGAACTGGCACTTTCGGACGCCGATCGAGCGGACTCGCGAAAAGTCAACCACGCAGACCCAAACCCCGATGCTGTGGGCGGCCCAAGCTTGCCAAAAACTAGCGCCTCCGGCGGCCAGTTGGGACGGAGAGCTTACGAAAAGTCAACCACGCAGACCCGAGCTCCGATGCGATGGCCAATCCCCGTGTGCCAAAAAATCAATGGCGCCTTCGGAGGGCGGTCGGGCGAGCTCGTGAAAAGTCAACCACGCTCCCCCAAACTCGGATGCTATGGCCCGTTCCAGTGTGGCAAAAGCTGGCGCCTCCGAACGCCGGTAGGAAGGGCGCGCGAAAAGTCAACCACGCAGACCCAAACTCCGATGCTGTGGCCAATCTCCGTGTGCCAAAAAAGGGCGCTTTCGGAGGGCGGTCGGACGAGCGCGTGAAAAATCAGCCACGCTCCCTTAAACTCCGATGCTGTGGCCAGGCCGAGTGTACCCAAAACAGGCGCCTCTGGAAGGCGTTCGGAAGAGGTCGTGAAAAGTCAACCACGCTCCGCCAAACTTCGGTAGATGCATGCTCGGCTCGACGCCGATTTGCGAGCAAAACCCGACGCCCTGCCACCCGGGTGGTCCCGTTTCTGCATGTTCGGCTCGACGCCGATTTGCGAGCAGAACCCGACGCCCTGCCACCCGGGTGGCCCCACCCGTTTCTGCATGGATGTTCGGCTCGGCGCCGGTTTGCGAGCAGAACCCGACGTCCTGCCACACGGGTGGTCCCGTTTCTGCGTGTTCGGCTCGACGCCGATTTGCGAGCAGAACCCGGCGCCCTGCCGCCCGGGTGGTCCC